GATGTAAGCGCACAGAAGATAAGAGATAACACACAATATTAAACCCACTTTTGATTTTGCTACTTCGCCCACAAGCATCATCTACTGAGCGCTCGCGTCAACCTAGGAGTTTAACAGCCGCCAATTATGGGCGCGGCTGCTTAAGTATGTGGATGAGCAGAAGGAATCGGGGGGACCCACTTAGCCACGGAATGCCGTATATCAAACACTTTTTTAACTACTACTTACAGAATTGGGGACATCTGCAACGCGAATTATCACCCACGTAAATGTATGGTTGCCCGTTTTCAAGGTTTGCCCGGCAAGGAGAAAACGCAACCTCTCTTACTGGTTTAGCATGTGAAGCTCACTTGTCGGACGTGAGGTTCTCGTCTCAATTTGATTTCTTGGAAGAAGGATCGCATTCATTCATTTGGATGTTTTGGCAGCCATTTTGAGAGAGATCGATAGACTAGTACGCTGCTCTGTTTCGGTTCGATGACCGTGACCCTCTGTGTGATGCCCAACGAAATCACTACACCGATGTAGCTGCTACGAAGTAAAAGCGGGTGTAGTAGTCACATGTGTTGATGAGAGAGGAACGGAATTGAGGTGGACTGCGAAAGGCAATCCGGATATTGCGGACATGCGTGCTAATGTCGTGTTGGTCCTTATGGACCAGCATGCTCACACACAGGGCTATAGCTACTACTGAAATCTGCACTCAGCCGATAAACGTATTACAGCCGTACCTTAGGTCCCGGAGGTTTCAGTCAAGTAGACAACGCTTCAGGAAATCTGTCATCGGTACAAGTCGAATAGTAGACGCTTTATGATTACCGTTCATGGTATAGGTCCCATAAATAGTGCAATGGAAAGTCTTGTGGAAATCAAAGCTTCTCAATTTTTCTGCGAGTGCGTAATGATTCGCTCACCATCGATTGATTTTTGCATCAATTGTAATTGCAAGTATACTATTGCTTCGCCGACTGGTGTTTGAAGTCGATAGTGTGCTATAAATTTCATGTCAACGAATCTCATTGATTCGCTGCACTCTCTCAACCAAGTCAAGCTCATCGCTCATTGCATAAGTACCATCGTATCGGTTACCCTGTCGTATACCATATGTAAGCACGTCGAACAAATGCGACGTTAATGTGTGCGCGGCCAAGCAGGTGGAGCGGTCTTATCGACGCCAATAGTCTCATTTGGACCGACGCAGCGTCATCCCGACGCGGATAGCCTCCCATCGGTCACGACATCGCCATAGCTTGGTTTGGATCAATACAAACTTCCCACCAGCCAGTCTCACGGTGCCACCATTCCAAAGATGGAAATCCCGTATGTATCGGACGTTATTCGCAGTGTAGTAGCGCCGCTGCTGTTTGATGCGCTTGCTGTATGTGTTGCTGGTGTCGAATGAGACCACTACTAAAGTCCGAACGCTCTCACGCACATGTGTACTGTTTGAAGTACGGCTCACTCGGCGTACCCTATACACTTCGTCTCCGCAATCGTAACGTCGCAGACTCGGTGAGCGTCATAGTCGCCGTCTAAGGCGTTATGCCCAGAAGAATATGCAAGTGTAAAAGTCAGGAGAGCCTGAAGCATGATGATGAGGTTGCGGGTTACAGCAAAAGTGCACCGTCGGGGAATCAAACCCCGACCTCATCCTTGGAAGGGATGAATCCTAACCATTAGACCAACGGTGCTCTCATCGTTGCTGCTCGTTTCATGCACATACAATGTCCGACACGGTCACTCGAGCCACTATTGCAAAACAAAAAAACAAACACAAAGCAAACGTACCGCACTACTCGTATCGAATGCCTGTTAAACAAGGACAATCCGCTCCGCTGCTGACCTCACGTCATGAAACATTTTTCATCGCTCGACGCATGTCGGTGTCATGTTGGCTTTATTTTACACTCACAAAAGCTTCTGCACCGTTTTGATGGACGCTCGACCTTTCTCTTCAATACTTTCCGCACGAAGATAAAAAGCGCCACAAGTGGACTCCGTGAGCGCAGAAATAATAGAGACCATTAGTTATTCTGAAATTCCGTTCGCTCATGCAGTGTTTCTACACAAACGAACGTCTTATGGCTTGTATTGAACTGTGATGAATGGCTGCTGTTGGCATAAGGTGATGCAGCTCGTGCATGTGGAGGGAGTTTGTATGCTGGCGTGTATATGTGCGTTACAGATTGCGCTGAGAAAGTACAATCAGATGTAAGTAACTAAGTGCGATAAGGTGCAACAGTGGTGCAGACTAAGTGGGAGACCTCGGCAGAGGTATACCAGAGGTCGTTCGAGACCCAGTGTCATCCATTAAGTGAAGCCTTCAGGCCTTGGTGTGATGGGGTTCACCAGCGTTGTCCTGTCAGGCAGTGACGTACCCACTTCTCTGACCATTGTCCGATCCAAGACTTTGTGACACACATCAGAGAGAAAGGGAACTCGACAATGACCAATGATTGGTTAATAAAATAGATGGTCAGCGTGACCATAAATGATGATTGGTTCTTTAAATGGACGGTCAGCTAGGTAAAGATGTAAAGGAATTGATAGCAAGCGACGATGTAAGCGCACAGAAGATAAGAGATAACACACAATATTAAACCCACTTTTGATTTTGCTACTTCGCCCACAAGCATCATCTACTGAGCGCTCGCGTCAACCTAGGAGTTTAACAACCGCCAATTATGGGCGCGGCTGCTTAAGTATGTGGATGAGCAGAAGGAATCGGGGGGACCCACTTAGCCACGGAATGCCGTATATCAAACACTTTTTTAACTACTACTTACAGAATTGGGGACATCTGCAACGCGAATTATCACCCACGTAAATGTATGGTTGCCCGTTTTCAAGGTTTTCCAGGCAAGGAGAAAACGCAACCTCTCTTACTGGTTTAGCATGTGAAGCTCACTTGTCGGACGTGAGGTTCTCGTCTCAATTTGATTTCTTGGAAGAAGGATCGCATTCATTCATTTGGATGTTTTGGCAGCCATTTTGAGAGAGATCGATAGACTAGTGTTTACATACGCTGCTCTGTTTTGGTTCGATGACCGTGACCCTCTGTGTGATGCCCAACGAAATCACTACACCGATGTAGCTGCTACGAAGTAAAAGCGGGTGTAGTAGTCACATGTGTTGATGAGAGAGGAACGGAATTGAGGTGGACTGCGAAAGGCTATCCGGATAATGCGGACATGCGTGCTAATGTCGTGTTGGTCCTTATGGACCAGCATGCTCACACACAGGGCTATAGCTACTACTGAAATCTGCACTCAGCCGATAAACGTATTACAGCCGTACCTTAGGTCCCGGAGGTTTCAGTCAAGTAGACAACGCTTCAGGAAATCTGTCATCGGTACAAGTCGAATAGTAGACGCTTTATGATTACCGTTCATGGTATAGGTCCCATAAATAGTGCAATGGAAAGTCTTGTGGAAATCAAAGCTTCTCAATTTTTCTGCGAGTGCGTAATGATTCGCTCACCATCGATTGATTTTTGCATCAATTGTAGTTGCAGGTATACTATCACTTCGCCGACTGGTGTTTAAAGTCGATAGTGTGCTATAAATTTCATGTCAACGAATCTCATTGATTCGCTGCACTCTCTCAACCAAGTCAAGCTCATCGCTCATTGCATAAGTACCATCGTATCGGTTACCCTGTCGTATACCATATGTAAGCACGTCGAACAAATGCGACGTTAATGTGTGCGTGGCCAAGCAGGTGGAGCGGTCTTATCGACGCCAATAGTCTCATTTGGACCGACGCAGCGTCATCCCGACGCGGATAGCCTCCCATCGGTCACGACATCGCCATAGCTTGGTTTGGATCAATACAAACTTCCCATCAGCCAGTCTCACGGTGCCACCATTCCAAAGATGGAAATCCCGTATGTATCGGACGTTATTCGCAGTGTAGTAGCGCCGCTGCTGTTTGATGCGCTTGCTGTATGTGTTGCTGGTGTCGAATGAGACCACTACTAAAGTCCGAACGCTCTCACGCACATGTGTACTGCTTGAAATACGGCTCACTCGGTCGTACCCTATACAATTCGTCTCCGCAATCGTAATGTCGCAGACTCGGTGAACGTCATAGTCGCCGTCTAAGGCGTTATGCCCAGAAGAATATGCAAGTGTAAAAGTCAGGAGAGCCTGAAGCATGATGATGAGGTTGCGGGTTACAGCAAAAGTGCGCCGTCGGGGAATCAAACCCCGACCTCATCCTTGGAAGGGATGAATCCTAACCATTAGACCAACGGTGCTCTCATCGTTGCTGCTCGTTTCATGCACATACAATGCCCGACACGGTCACTCGAGCCACTATTGCAAAACAAAATACAAATACAAAGCAAACGTACCGCACTACTCGTATCGGATGCCTGTTAAACAAGGACAATCCGCTCCGCTGCTGACCCCACATCATGAAACATTTTTCATCGCTCGACGCATGTCTGTTAACATTAACTAGGTTGAGGAGCTGATGCTAAGAAGAAGATGGCTTACGGCCGGGGATGAAAACCGAAAAGTGAGTTGTATCCAAATTGTTCCTAGCTTCGAAAACGAATAGCTAGTAGTATCCGGTGGCTCTCAGCCACCTATTTCGTGCCCTGTCTCCACCGCTTTCTGTTTTACCTATCACTGGGTAATTACGTCCTGTTAATACATTTCGTAAAAACTCTGCTGTGTCATACGCAGAATGTAAACGATTGCGTGGGTGGGGGACGTAACTGCGGGTGGGTCACAGTTCTGGTGAACCCCAAACACCAGGTCGTGATTGTCAGTCACAATTTACTTGGACACGGCGGGGATCTAACCCGCACACACTGTGAATCCCTCTTCCTTAACGACTGGGCCAATCCGATACATCGTCACCGCTAACATCCCACAATATAAACCTGCCAAAGAACAATACAACTAATGCAAATATGTAATATACACCCTGCACAAGTCGCCGCATCATCACTCGCTAACACTCCCCCTTGATGTGCGTGCGACGTGTGCGCCCTACACCGCCATACACAGACCCGTGATGAACTTGCTGTGCTTGTCTCTTGGAAGTGCCTTGGTAAATCTATCCGCGACCATTTCTTCTGTTGGCTTGAACTCTAGCACGATCACTGCACTTGCAACCTTTTCACGCAAAAAGTGAAATTTGATGTCGATGTGCTTCGTGCGCGAGTGGTACACAGGATTCTTGGCCAACGCGATGCAACCTTGATTGTCTTGAAAAATCGTCGTCGTGTTCTTGGCACAGTAGTTCAGGTCCTTGAGCAGACCTCGAAGCCAAACTGCTTCCTGCGTCGCGCTGTACAGACTCATGTACTCTGCTTCAGTACGTGAGGTCGCGACCGTTGGTTGACGCTTCAAATTCCACGATGTCACGCTTCCGTTCAGGAAGAAATCGTATCTTGTTGTCGAACGCCACGTGTCGAGGTCGCCAGCCCAGTTGGCATCCGCGAATCCGATCAGCTCTCCCTTGTTGATGCCGCTGAACACGATGCTTAAGTCTTGAGTCGTCTTGAGATACTTGAGAATCCGCTTTGCTGCTGTCCAATGCGACTTGTCGTAGCGCTCGCAAAACTTCGCAACTTCGCCGACCGCATGCGCAATGTCCGGTCGTGTACATGTGGCGATGTACATTAAAGCGCCCACCAGCTCACGGTATGGGTACTTTGGTACAAACGCTTCCTCTTGACCCATCTTGATCAGCTTCGAGTTACTGTCCGCCGGCGTGTGCACGTCCTTGCAGTTTTCAACGCCAAACTTCTCCGAAAGTCGCTTGATGTACGCCTTCTGGTTCATCTTGATCGTTCCATCTTCGCGCTTGCGATGAATCTCGATCCTGAGGCAGTACTTGAGATCTCCAAGATCTTTAATGCTGAAGTCTTCCATCAATGAGTTCTTGATACTTGCGATGTGCTCCTTCGTCTTGCAGGAAATCGTCAAGTCGTCCACGTAGATCACGATGATGATGTACTCCTCTCTTGTCACTCGAACGAACACACACGGGTCCGCTGCACTGCTCTTGAACTCTTGATCATCCAATTGCTGACTCAACTTGTTGTTCCACTGCCGCGCCGCTTGCTTCGTCCCGTATAGCACCTTCTGCAGCAAACACTTCTTTTTCGGGCTTCCTTCATCTTCAAAACCGTCAGGTTGGTCCATGTAGATCTCCTCTTACACTTCGCCGTCGAGAAACGCTGTGTCGACATCAACGTTTTCTGCTTCCAGGTCTTCAGCTGCAGCAATCGCCAACACTGTGTTGATAGATTCCTTGCGCGCCACTGGTGCAAAGGTCTCGTTGTAGTCGATGCCAGGACGCTGCGTGAACCCTTTCGCAACCAAGCGTGCCTTGAACTTGATGATCTTCCCACTTGGATCGCGTTTAATCTTGAAGACCCACTTGCAGCCTACGGCCTTCTTGCTCGGTGGCATGTCCACTAGCTTCCATGTTCTGTGTTCTTCAAACGACTTCATCTCACTCTTCATTGCCTGCAGCCACTGCTACTTGTAGCCGATCTTCGTCACTTCTTGATAGCTGGACGCTTGTTCCCCATCTTCTTCACCTGAGAAACAGTAGAAAGGGTCGAAGTCACCTTCGTAGTCGTCCAAATTGAAGCGACCGCGACGATGGCTTCGAAGTTCTTGTTCGTAGCGAACCACGCCGCGCTTTTTCCGAACCGGTCACACCATCCACTCTTCTTCTCCGTTTCTTCCGGGTGTGCTGGATGCGCGCGTAGGAATGGTGTCGCTTGGTCGATCACTTGGTCCGTCATGAGAGCTGTTCTGCGCTCGAAGTGGTGGGGTGCGTAGCTCTTCTTCGGTCACCGGCGCTGGTATGTCTTCATCATCGGGTAGCGACGCCTCCACACTTTCCTCTTCTTCAATGACATCGAAGACCCGCGTGTCTCTGCTTTTCGATTTTTTCGAGACAGAATGCTCAGAGAACGTGACGCTTCTTGAAATCACGATCGAGCCATCGTCCGCACTAAGGAGCCGATACGCCTTTTGATCCTTCGCACAGCCGAGAAAGAAACATCGCACGCCTGAGTCGTTCAGCTTCTTCCTCTTCTCCTTTGCCACATGCGCATAGCATTGCGCACCAAACACGCGCATGTGATCGACGCGCGGAACCTTCTTGAACACCATCTCGTGTGGGCTCGAGTTCTTGTTCGACGCGTTCGGCAGAATGTTTCTGATGTCTGCCGCTGTCATCAGTGCTTCGCATCAGTACGACTTGTCGAGGCCGCTTTCGTTGAGCATACAGCGCGTCATCTCCACCAGCGTGCGGTTCATCCGCTCCGCCATCCCTTTCTGCTCTGGGTTGTACGGAACCGTGAACTCTTGCTTGATGAACTTTGCCTTGCAAAAGTTGTTCATCGTTTCGTTCCGGTATTCTCCGCCGTTGTCACTTCGCAACACCTTTATCTTCGTTCCAGATGCTGTCTTGATATCTTGGTAAAACCGCTTGAACGCACTCGCAACGTCGCTCTTCTTTCGCAACGGATAGACCATTACATACCTGCTCTTCATCATGATGAAGGTTACGGCTAACTGAAACCAGACTTAGACGCTGGCGTGATAGGTCCGAGAACGTCGAAGCACACCACCACGTCGGAACGCGAACTCTCCCTGGTTTCAGCGTCTTCTTCACTGGTCTTGAATGACTTGCGCACTTGCTTTGACGTTGCGCATACGTCACAAGCAACGTTCCTCTTCACCGCAGCGCCCTTGATCCGTCCTTCATTAACCATGGCATTCAGAGTACCATACGACACGTGGCCCATTCTTCTATGCCATAGCTCAGTCTCGTCTTCGGCTATGTGGCACTCCGTACAATAGTCAGCATTGAGATACAGTAGGAAAAATCCTGCTTCCGTCCTGTTGCGACGGGTTTCCTGCCATGCTTCACCACGCACTCGTTGCGCGTTATCTCCACTGTCATGCCGCGCGCTGCTGCAGCCGTGAGCGAAAACAGGTTCTTGGACGAATCTTGAACGTGAAGTGTGTTCTCAAGGCGAGCGTCGACCCACGCATTCCCTGTCCAGACGCGCAGCTTCAATTTCCCATGTCCAATGACGTTCAGCTTCACGTCGCTTTTTGCGCTTGAGATACTTCGCGCATGATGCACTTCTTCGTAATCTTCGAACGCATCTCGATCCTTGCACATGTGTGCTGACGCCGCACTGTCCATGACCCAGCTGTCGCTCGCGAAACCTTCGCAGGCATTGAACGCGACGTTCGACTGGTCATGCTGGTGCTCCCTTGGCCCTCGACCGGAGCGACAATCTCTGGTGTAGTGTCCGACCTTGCCACAGTTGTTGCAGGTCCGTGATGGTCCTTTCGCGCGCCGTCCTTTTTGCTTCTTCGGGTACTGCTTACTCTTCCTCGTGCTTGTGTAGAGAGCCGGTGCATCTTCTACCCGTGCAGCCTCATTCTAGCGGACTTCTTTGGCGATCAACTTGCTCACGAGGTCACTAAAACTGAAGCTTGCGACGGACATGCGGAATGCATGTACCAAGCTCTCGAAGCTTGAAGGTAGACTCTGCAACAGTACTGCGCACACGTCTTCTTCACTTGGACCGCAGTTCGCGCGCTTCATCTTCATCACGAGGTCCTCCAGCTCCATCGCATGACCGCTTATGCTTGATGCTGCATACTTGAACGAGGCCAACAGTTCTTTCAGCCAATGTCGATTCGCCATGTCATGCCTGTGATGAAACCGCGCCAAATGTCCCCACACTTCTCTTGCAGTGGCCGAGTCGATGACATGCATCAGCTGCGAATCGCTCCGATTAAGCACGATCGCGGCGTGGGATTTCTGTTCCTTGGCCTCACTCATTGTCTCATCGCCCGCGATCGCGCCCCACAGCCCCTTCGACATCAGGTACATCTTCATCTTGTAACTCCACAACCCATAGTTCGAGCCATCGAAAGGCTCGACCTTGAAACCGGAACCGTTGTTTAAGCTCATAACCTGTTAGAGTTAACTAGGTTGCGGAGCTGATGAGAAGAAGAAGATGGCTTACGGCCGGGGATGAAAACCGAAAAGTGAGTTGTATCCAAATTGTTCCTAGGTCCAAAAGCGAATGGCTAGTAGTATCCGGTGGCTCTCAGCCACCTATTTCGTGCCCTGTCTCCACCGGTACCTGTTTTACTTATCACTGGGTAATCACGTCTCGTAAATACCTTTCGTAAAAACTCTGCTGTGTCATATGCAGAATGAAAACGATTTCGTGGGTGGGGGACGTAACTGCGGGGGGGGCACAGTTCTGGTGAACCTCAAACACCAGGTCGTGAGTGTCAGTCACAATTAACTTGAACACGGCGGGGATAGAACCCGCACATACTGTGAATCCCTCTTCCTTAACGACTGGGCCAATCCGATACATCGTCACCGCTAACATCCCACAATATAAACCTGCCAAAGAACAATACAACTAATGCAAATATGTAATATACACCCTGCACAAGTCGCCGCATCATCACTCACTAACACTCCCCCTTGATGTGCGTGCGACGTGTGCGCCCTACACCGCCATACACAGACCCGTGATGAACTTGCTGTGCTTGTCTCTTGGAAGTGCCTTGGTGAATCTATCCGCGACCATTTCTTCTGTTGGCTTGAACTCTAGCACGATCACTGCACTTGCAACCTTTTCACGCAAAAAGTGAAATTTGATGTCGATGTGCTTCGTGCGCGAGTGGTACACAGGATTCTTGGCCAACGCGATGCAACCTTGATTGTCTTGAAAAATCGTCGTCGTGTTCTTGGCACAGTAGTTCAGGTCCTTGAGCAGACCTCGAAGCCAAACTGCTTCCTGCGTCGCGCTGTACAGACTCATGTACTCTGCTTCAGTACGTGAGGTCGCGACCGTTGGTTGACGCTTCAAATTCCACTATGTCACGCTTCCGTTCAGGAAGAAATCGTATCTTGTTGTCGAACGCCACGTGTCGAGGTCGCCAGCCCAGTTGGCATCCGCGAATCCGATCAGCTCTCCCTTGTTGATGCCGCTGAACACGATGCTTAAGTCTTGAGTCGTCTTGAGATACTTGAGAATCCGCTTTGCTGCTGTCCAATGCGACTTGTCGTAGCGCTCGCAAAACTTCGCAACTTCGCCGACCGCATGCGCAATGTCCGGTCGTGTACATGTGGCGATGTACATTAAAGCGCCCACCAGCTCACGGTATGGGTACTTTGGTACAAACGCTTCCTCTTGACCCATCTTGATCAGCTTCGAGTTACTGTCCGCCGGCGTGTGCACGTCCTTGCAGTTTTCAACGCCAAACTTCTCCGAAAGTCGCTTGATGTACGCCTTCTGGTTCATCTTGATCGTTCCATCTTCGCGCTTGCGATGAATCTCGATCCTGAGGCAGTACTTGAGATCTCCAAGATCTTTAATGCTGAAGTCTTCCATCAATGAGTTCTTGATGCTTGCGATGTGCTCCTTCGTCTTGCAGGAAATCATCAAGTCGTCCACGTAGATCACGATGATGATGTACTCCTCTCTTGTCACTCGAACGAACACACACGGGTCCGCTGCACTGCTCTTGAACTCTTGATCATCCAATTGCTGACTCAACTTGTTGTTCCACTGCCGCGCCGCTTGCTTCGTCCCGTATAGCACCTTCTGCAGCAAACACTTCTTTTTCGGGCTTCCTTCATCTTCAAAACCGTCAGGTTGGTCCATGTAGATCTCCTCTTCCACTTCGCCGTCGAGAAACGCTGTGTCGACATCAACGTTTTCTGCTTCCAGGTCTTCAGCTGCAGCAATCGCCAACACTGTGTTGATAGATTCCTTGCGCGCCAATGGTGCAAAGGTCTCGTTGTAGTCGATGCCAGGACGCTGCGTGAACCCTTTCGCAACCAAGCGTGCCTTGAACTTGATGATCTTCCCACTTGGATCGCGTTTAATCTTGAAGACCCACTTGCAGCCTACGGCCTTCTTGCTCGGTGGCATGTCCACTAGCTTCCATGTTCTGTGTTCTTCAAACGACTTCATCTCACTCTTCATTGCCTGCAGCCACTGCTACTTGTAGCCGATCTTCGTCACTTCTTGATAGCTGGACGCTTGTTCCCCATCTTCTTCACCTGAGAAACAGTAGAAAGGGTCGAAGTCACCTTCGTAGTCGTCCAAATTGAAGCGACCGCGACGATGGCTTCGAAGTTCTTGTTCGTAGCGAACCACGCCGCGAATTTTCCGAACCGGTCACACCATCCACTCTTCTTCTCCGTTTCTTCCGGGTGTGCTGGATGCGCGCGTAGGAATGGTGTCGCTTGGTCGATCACTTGGTCCGTGATGAGAGCTGTTCTGCGCTCGAAGTGGTGGGGTGCGTAGCTCTTCTTCGGTAACCGGCGCTGGTATGTCTTCATCATCGGGTAGCGACGCCTCCACAATTTCCTCTTCTTCAATGACATAGAACACCCGAGTGTCTCTGCTTTTCGATGCTTTCGAGACAGAATGCTCAGAGAACGTGACGCTTCTTGAAATCACGATCGAGCCATCGTCCGCACTAAGAAGCCGATACGCCTTTTGATCCTTCGCACAGCCGAGAAAGAAACATCGCACGCCTGAGTCGTCCAGCTTCTTCCTCTTCTCCTTTGCCACACGCGCATAGCATTGCGCACCAAACACGCGCATGTGATCGACGCGCGGAACCTTCTTGAACACCATCTCGTGTGGGCTCGAGTTCTTGTTCGACGCGTTCGGCAGAATGTTTCTGATGTCTGCCGCTGTCATCAGTGCTTCGCATCAGTACGACTTGTCGAGGCCGCTTTCGTTGAGCATACAGCGCGTCATCTCCACCAGCGTGCGGTTCATCCGCTCCGCCATCCCTTTCTGCTCTGGGTTGTACGGAACCGTGAACTCTTGCTTGATGAACTTTGCCTTGCAAAAGTTGTTCATCGTTTTCGTTCCGGTATTCGCCGCCGTTGTCACTTCGCAACACCTTTATCTTCGTTCCAGATGCTGTCTTGATATCTTGGTAAAACCGCTTGAACGCACTCGCAACGTCGCTCTTCTTTTGCAACGGATAGACCGTTACATACCTGCTCTTCATCATGATGAAGGTTACGGCTAACTGAAACCAGACTTAGACGCTGGCGTGATAGGTCCGAGAACGTCGAAGCACACCACCACGTCGGAACGCGAACTCTCCCTGGTTTCAGCGTCTTCTTCACTGGTCTTGAATGACTTGCGCACTTGCTTTGACGCTGCGCATACGTCACACGCAACGTTCCTCTTCACCGTAGCGCCCTTGATCCGTCCGTCATTAATCATGGCATTCAGAGTACCATACGACACGTGGCCCAGTCTTCTATGCCATAGCTCAGTCTCGTCTTCGGCTATGTGGCACTCCGTACAATAGTCAGCATTGAGATACAGTAGGAAAAATCCTGCTTCCGTCCTGTTGCGACGGGTTTCCTGCCATGCTTCACCACGCACTCGTTGCGCGTTATCTCCACTGTCATGCCGCGCGCTGCTGCAGCCGTGAGCGAAAACAGGTTCTTGGACGAATCTTGAACGTGAAGTGTGTTCTCAAGGCGAGCGTCGACCCACGCATTCCCTGTCCAGACGCGCAGCTTCAATTTCCCATGTCCAATGACGTTCAGCTTCACGTCGCTTTTTGCGCTTGAGATACTTCGCGCATGATGCACTTCTTCGTAATCTTCGAACGCATCTCGATCCTTGCACATGTGTGCTGACGCCGCACTGTCCATGACCCAGCTGTCGCTCGCGAAACCTTCGCAGGCATTGAACGCGACGTTCGACTGGTCATGCTGGTGCTCCCTTGGCCCTCGACCGGAGCGACAATCTCTGGTGTAGTGTCCGACCTTGCCACAGTTGTTGCAGGTCCGTGATGGTCCTTTCGCGCGCCGTCCTTTTTGCTTCTTCGGGTACTGCTTACTCTTCCTCGTGCTTGTGTAGAGAGCCGGTGCATCTTCTACCCGTGCAGCCTCATTCTAGCGGACTTCTTTGGCGATCAACTTGCTCACGAGGTCACTAAAACTGAAGCTTGCGACGGACATGCGGAATGCATGTACCAAGCTCTCGAAGCTTGAAGGTAGACTCTGCAACAGTACTGCGCACACGTCTTCTTCACTTGGACCGCAGTTCGCGCGCTTCATCTTCATCACGAGGTCCTCCAGCTCCATCGCATGACCGCTTATGCTTGATGCTGCATACTTGAACGAGGCCAACAGTTCTTTCAGCCAATGTCGATTCGCCATGTCATGCCTGTGATGAAACCGCGCCAAATGTCCCCACACTTCTCTTGCAGTGGCCGAGTCGATGACATGCATCAGCTGCGAATCGCTCCGATTAAGCACGATCGCGGCGTGGGCTTGCTGTTCCTTGGCCTCACTTGTTGTCTAATCGCCCATCGCCCGCGTCGCGCCCCACAGCCCCTTCGACATCAGGTACATCTTCATCTTGTAACTCCACAACCCATAGTTCGAGCCATCGAAAGGCTCGACCTTGAGACCGGAACCGTTGTTTAAGCTCATAACCTGTTAGAGTTAACTAGGTTGCGGAGCTGATGAGAAGAAGAAGATGGCTTACGGCCGGGGATGAAAACCGAAAAGTGAGTTGTATCCAAATTGTTCCTAGGTCCAAAAGCGAATGGCTAGTAGTATCCGGTGGCTCTCAGCCACCTATTTCGTGCCCTGTCTCCACCGGTACCTGTTTTACTTATCACTGGGTAATCACGTCTCGTAAATACCTTTCGTAAAAACTCTGCTGTGTCATATGCAGAATGAAAACGATTTCGTGGGTGGGGGACGTAACTGCGGGGGGGGCACAGTTCTGGTGAACCTCAAACACCAGGTCGTGAGTGTCAGTCACAATTAACTTGAACACGGCGGGGATAGAACCCGCACATACTGTGAATCCCTCTTCCTTAACGACTGGGCCAATCCGATACATCGTCACCGCTAACATCCCACAATATAAACCTGCCAAAGAACAATACAACTAATGCAAATATGTAATATACACCCTGCACAAGTCGCCGCATCATCACTCACTAACACTCCCCCTTGATGTGCGTGCGACGTGTGCGCCCTACACCGCCATACACAGACCCGTGATGAACTTGCTGTGCTTGTCTCTTGGAAGTGCCTTGGTGAATCTATCCGCGACCATTTCTTCTGTTGGCTTGAACTCTAGCACGATCACTGCACTTGCAACCTTTTCACGCAAAAAGTGAAATTTGATGTCGATGTGCTTCGTGCGCGAGTGGTACACAGGATTCTTGGCCAACGCGATGCAACCTTGATTGTCTTGAAAAATCGTCGTCGTGTTCTTGGCACAGTAGTTCAGGTCCTTGAGCAGACCTCGAAGCCAAACTGCTTCCTGCGTCGCGCTGTACAGACTCATGTACTCTGCTTCAGTACGTGAGGTCGCGACCGTTGGTTGACGCTTCAAATTCCACTATGTCACGCTTCCGTTCAGGAAGAAATCGTATCTTGTTGTCGAACGCCACGTGTCGAGGTCGCCAGCCCAGTTGGCATCCGCGAATCCGATCAGCTCTCCCTTGTTGATGCCGCTGAACACGATGCTTAAGTCTTGAGTCGTCTTGAGATACTTGAGAATCCGCTTTGCTGCTGTCCAATGCGACTTGTCGTAGCGCTCGCAAAACTTCGCAACTTCGCCGACCGCATGCGCAATGTCCGGTCGTGTACATGTGGCGATGTACATTAAAGCGCCCACCAGCTCACGGTATGGGTACTTTGGTACAAACGCTTCCTCTTGACCCATCTTGATCAGCTTCGAGTTACTGTCCGCCGGCGTGTGCACGTCCTTGCAGTTTTCAACGCCAAACTTCTCCGAAAGTCGCTTGATGTACGCCTTCTGGTTCATCTTGATCGTTCCATCTTCGCGCTTGCGATGAATCTCGATCCTGAGGCAGTACTTGAGATCTCCAAGATCTTTAATGCTGAAGTCTTCCATCAATGAGTTCTTGATACTTGCGATGTGCTCCTTCGTCTTGCAGGAAATCATCAAGTCGTCCACGTAGATCACGATGATGATGTACTCCTCTCTTGTCACTCGAACGAACACACACGGGTCCGCTGCACTGCTCTTGAACTCTTGATCATCCAATTGCTGACTCAACTTGTTGTTCCACTGCCGCGCCGCTTGCTTCGTCCCGTATAGCACCTTCTGCAGCAAACACTTCTTTTTCGGGCTTCCTTCATCTTCAAAACCGTCAGGTTGGTCCATGTAGATCTCCTCTTCCACTTCGCCGTCGAGAAACGCTGTGTCGACATCAACGTTTTCTGCTTCCAGGTCTTCAGCTGCAGCGATCGCCAACACTGTGTTGATAGATTCCTTGCGCGCCACTGGTGCAAAGGTCTCGTTGCAGTCGATGCCAGGACGCTGCGTGAACCCTTTCGCAACCAAGCGTGCCTTGAACTTGATGATCTTCCCACTTGGATCGCGTTTAATCTTGAAGACCCACTTGCAGCCTACGGCCTTCTTGCTCGGTGGCATGTCCACTAGCTACCATGTGCTGTGTTCTTCAAGCAACTTCATCTCACTCTTCATTGCCTGCAGCCACTGCTACTTGTAGCCGCTCTTCATCACTTCTTGATAGCTGGACGCTTGTTCCCCATCTTCTTCAGCCGAGAAACAGTAGAAAGAGTCGAAGTCACCTTCGTAGTCGTCCAAATTGAAGCGACCGCGACGATGGCTTCGAAGTTCTTGTTCGTAGCGAACCACGCCGCGAATTTTCCGAACCGGTCACACCATCCACTCTTCTTCTCCGTTTCTTCCGGGTGTGCTGGATGCGCGCGTAGGAATGGTGTCGCTTGGTCGATCACTTGGTCCGTGATGAGAGCTGTTCTGCGCTCGAAGTGGTGGGGTGCGTAGCTCTTCTTCGGTAACCGGCGCTGGTATGTCTTCATCATCGGGTAGCGACGCCTCCACAATTTCCTCTTCTTCAATGACATAGAACACCCGCGTGTCTCTGCTTTTCGATGCTTTCGAGACAGAATGCTCAGAGAACGTGACGCTTCTTGAAATCACGATTGAGCCATCGTCCGCACTAAGAAGCCGATACGCCTTTTGATCCTTCGCACAGCCGAGAAAGAAACATCGCACGCCTGAGTCGTCCAGCTTCTTCCTCTTCTCCTTTGCCACACGCGCATAGCATTGCGCACCAAACACGCGCATGTGATCGACGCGCGGAACCTTCTTGAACACCATCTCGTGTGGGCTCGAGTTCTTGTTCGACGCGTTCGGCAGAATGTTTCTGATGTCTGCCGCTGTCATCAGTGCTTCGCATCAGTACGACTTGTCGAGGCCGCTTTCGTTGAGCATACAGCGCGTCATCTCCACCAGCGTGCGGTTCATCCGCTCCGCCATCCCTTTCTGCTCTGGGTTGTACGGAACCGTGAACTCTTGCTTGATGAACTTTGCCTTGCAAAAGTTGTTCATCGTTTCGTTCCGGTATTCGCCGCCGTTGTCACTTCGCAACACCTTTATCTTCGTTCCAGATGCTGTCTCGATATCTTGGTAAAACCGCTTGAACGCACTCGCAACGTCGCTCTTCTTTTGCAACGGATAGACCGTTACATACCTGCTCTTCATCATGATGAAGGTTACGGCTAACTGAAACCAGACTTAGACGCTGGCGTGATAGGTCCGAGAACGTCGAAGCACACCACCACGTCGGAACGCGAACTCTCCCTGGTTTCAGCGTCTTCTTCACTGGTCTTGAATGACTTGCGCACTTGCTTTGACGCTGCGCATACGTCACACGCAACGTTCCTCTTCACCGTAGCGCCCTTGATCCTAACGTCATTAATCATGGCATTCAGAGTACCATACGACACGTGGCCCAGTCTTCTATGCCATAGCTCAGTCTCGTCTTCGGCTATGTGGCACTCCGTACAATAGTCAGCATTGAGATACAGTAGGAAAAATCCTGCTTCCGTCCTGTTGCGACGGGTTTCCTGCCATGCTTCACCACGCACTCGTTGCGCGTTATCTCCACTGTCATGCCGCGCGCTGCTGCAGCCGTGAGCGAAAACAGGTTCTTGGACGAATCTTGAACGTGAAGTGTGTTCTCAAGGCGAGCGTCGACCCACGCATTCCCTGTCCAGACGCGCAGCTTCAATTTCCCATGTCCAATGACGTTCAGCTTCACGTCGCTTTTTGCGCTTGAGATACTTCGCGCATGATGCACTTCTTCGTAATCTTCGAACGCATCTCGATCCTTGCACATGTGTGCTGACGCCGCACTGTCCATGACCCAGCTGTCGCTCGCGAAACCTTCGCAGGCATTGAACGCGACGTTCGACTGGTCATGCTGGTGCTCCCTTGGCCCTCGACCGGAGCGACAATCTCTGGTGTAGTGTCCGACCTTGCCACAGTTGTTGCAGGTCCGTGATGGTCCTTTCGCGCGCCGTCCTTTTTGCTTCTTCGGGTACTGCTTACTCTTCCTCGTGCTTGTGTAGAGAGCCGGTGCATCTTCTACCCGTGCAGCCTCATTCTAGCGGACTTCTTTGGCGATCAACTTGCTCACGAGGTCACTAAAACTGAAGCTTGCGACGGACATGCGGAATGCATGTACCAAGCTCTCGAAGCTTGAAGGTAGACTCTGCAACAGTACTGCGCACACGTCTTCTTCACTTGGACCGCAGTTCGCGCGCTTCATCTTCATCACGAGGTCCTCCAGCTCCATCGCATGACCGCTTATGCTTGATGCTGCATACTTGAACGAGGCCAACAGTTCTTTCAGCCAATGTCGATTCGCCATGTCATGCCTGTGATGAAACCGCGCCAAATGTCCCCACACTTCTCTTGCAGTGGCCGAGTCGATGACATGCATCAGCTGCGAATCGCTCCGATTAAGCACGATCGCGGCGTGGGATTGCTGTTCCTTGGCCTCACTCATTGTCTCATCGCCCGCGATCGCGCCCCACAGCCCCTTCGACATCAGGTACATCTTCATCTTGTAACTCCACAACCCATAGTTCGAGCCATCGAAAGGCTCGACCTTGAAACCGGAACCGTTGTTTAAGCTCATAACCTGTTAGAGTTAACTAGGTTGCGGAGCAGATGAGAAGAAGAAGATGGCTTACGGCCGGGGATGAAAACCGAAAAGTGAGTTGTATTCGAATTGTTCCTAGGTCCAAAAGCGAATGGCTAGTAGTATCCGGTGGCTCTCAGCCACCTATTTCGTGCCCTGTCTCCACCGCTTTCTGTTTTACCTATCACTGGGTAATTACGTCCTGTTAATACATTTCGTAAAAACTCTGCTGTGTCATATGCAGGATGTAAACGATTGCGTGGGTGGGGGACGTAACTGCGGGTGGGTCACAGTTCTGGTGAACCCCAAACACCAGGTCGTGAGTGTCAGTCACAATTTACTTGGACACGGCGGGGATCTAACCCGCACACACTGTGAATCCCTCTTCCTTAACGACTGGGCCAATCCGATACATCGTCACCGCTAACATCCCACAATATAAACCTGCCAAAGAACAATACAACTAATGCAAATATGTAATATACACCCTGCACAAGTCGCCGCATCATCACTCACTAACACTCCCCCTTGATGTGCGTGCGACGTGTGCGCCCTACACCGCCATACACAGACCCGTGATGAACTTGCTGTGCTTGTCTCTTGGAAGTGCCTTGGTGAATCTATCCGCGACCATTTCTTCTGTTGGCTTGAACTCTAGCGCGACACTGCACTTGCAACCTTTTCACGTAAAAAGTGAAATTTGATGTCGATGTGCTTCGTGCGCGAGTGGTACACAGGATTCTTGGCCAACGCGATGCAACCTTGATTGTCTTGAAAAATCGTCGTCGTGTTCTTGGCACAGTAGTTCAGGTCCTTGAGCAGACCTCGAAGCCAAACTGCTTCCTGTGTCGCGCTGTACAGACTCATGTACTCTGCTTCAGTACGTGAGGTCGCGACCGTTGGTTGACGCTTCAAATTCCACGATGTCACGCTTCCGTTCAGGAAGAAATCGTATCTTGTTGTCGAACGCCACGTGTCGAGGTCGCCAGCCCAGTTGGCATCCGCGAATCCGATCAGCTCTCCCTTGTTGATGCCGCTGAACACGATGCTTAAGTCTTGAGTCGTCTTGAGATACTTGAGAATCCGCTTTGCTGCTGTCCAATGCGACTTGTCGTAGCGCTCGCAAAACTTCGCAACTTCGCCGACCGCATGCGCAATGTCCGGTCGTGTACATGTGGCGATGTACATTAAAGCGCCCACCAGCTCACGGTATGGGTACTTTGGTACAAACGCTTCCTCTTGACCCATCTTGATCAGCTTCGAGTTACTGTCCGCCGGCGTGTGCACGTCCTTGCAGTTTTCAACGCCAAACTTCTCCGAAAGTCGCTTGATGTACGCCTTCTGGTTCATCTTGATCGTTCCATCTTCGCGCTTGCGATGAATCTCGATCCTGAGGCAGTACTTGAGATCTCCAAGATCTTTAATGCTGAAGTCTTCCATCAATGAGTTCTTGATACTTGCGATGTGCTCCTTCGTCTTGCAGGAAATCATCAAGTCGTCCACGTAGATCACGATGATGATGTACTCCTCTCTTGTCACTCGAACGAACACACACGGGTCCGCTGCACTGCTCTCGAACTCTTGATCATCCAATTGCTGACTCAACTTGTTGTTCCACTGCCGCGACGCTTGCTTTGTCCCGTATAGCACCTTCTGCAGCAAACACTTCTTTTTCGGGCTTCCTTCATCTTCAAAACCGCCAGGTTGGTCCATGTAGATCTCCTCTTACACTTCGCCGTCGAGAAACGCTGTGTCGACATCAACGTTTTCTGCTTCCAGGTCTTCAGCTGCAGCGATCGCCAACACTGTGTTGATAGATTCCTTGCGCGCCACTGGTGCAAAGGTCTCGTTGCAGTCGATGCCAGGACGCTGCGTGAACCCTTTCGCAACCAAGCGTGCCTTGAACTTGATGATCTCGCCACTCGGATCGCGTTTAATCTTGAAGACCCACTTGCAGCCTACGGCCTTCTTACCCGGTGGCATGTCCACTAGCTACCATGTGCTGTGTTCTTCAAGCAACTTCATCTCACTCTTCATTGCCTGCAGCCACTGCTACTTGTAGCCGCTCTTCATCACTTCTTGATAGCTGGACGCTTGTTCCCCATCTTCTTCAGCCGAGAAACAGTAGAAAGAGTCGAAGTCACCTTCGTAGTCGTCCAAATTGAAGCGACCGCGACGATGGCTTCGAAGTTCTTGTTCGTAGCGAACCACGCCGCGAATTTTCCGAACCGGTCACACCATCCACTCTTCTTCTCCGTTTCTTCCGGGTGTGCTGGATGCGCGCGTAGGAATGGTGTCGCTTGGTCGATCACTTGGTCCGTGATGAGAGCTGTTCTGCGCTCGAAGTGGTGGGGTGCGTAGCTCTTCTTCGGTAACCGGCGCTGGTATGTCTTCATCATCGGGTAGCGACGCCTCCACAATTTCCTCTTCTTCAATGACATCGAAGACCCGCGTGTCTCTGCTTTTCGATGCTTTCGAGACAGAATGCTCAGAGAACGTGACGCTTCTTGAAATCACGATTGAGCCATCGTCCGCACTAAGAAGCCGATACGCCTTTTGATCCTTCGCACAGCCGAGAAAGAAACATCGCACGCCTGAGTCGTCCAGCTTCTTCCTCTTCTCCTTTGCCACATGCGCATAGCATTGCGCACCAAACACGCGCATGTGATCGACGCGCGGAACCTTCTTGAACACCATCTCGTGTGGGCTCGAGTTCTTGTTCGACGCGTTCGGCAGAATGTTTCTGATGTCTGCCGCTGTCATCAGTGCTTCGCATCAGTACGACTTGTCGAGGCCGCTTTCGTTGAGCATACAGCGCGTCATCTCCACCAGCGTGCGGTTCATCCGCTCCGCCATCCCTTTCTGCTCTGGGTTGTACGGAACCGTGAACTCTTGCTTGATGAACTTTGCCTTGCAAAAGTTGTTCATCGTTTCGTTCCGGTATTCGCCGCCGTTGTCACTTCGCAACACCTTTATCTTCGTTCCAGATGCTGTCTCTGATATCTTGGTAAAACCGCTTGAACGCACTCGCAACGTCGCTCTTCTTTTGCAACGGATAGACCGTTACATACCTGCTCTTCATCATGATGAAGGTTACGGCTAACTGAAACCAGACTTAGACGCTGGCGTGATAGGTCCGAGAACGTCGAAGCACACCACCACGTCGGAACGCGAACTCTCCCTGGTTTCAGCGTCTTCTTCACTTGTCTTGAATGACTTGCGCACTTGCTTTGACGCTGCGCATACGTCACACGCAACGTTCCTCTTCACCGCAGCGCCCTTGATCCGTCCTTCATTAACCATGGCATTCAGAGTACCATACGACACGTGGCCCAGTCTTCTATGCCATAGCTCAGTCTCGTCTTCGGCTATGTGGCACTCCGTACAATAGTCAGCATTGAGATACAGTAGGAAATCCTGCTTCCGTCCTGTTGCGACGGGTTTCCTGCCACGCTTCACCACGCACTCGTTGCGCGTTATCTCCACTGTCATGCCGCGCGCTGCTGCAGCCGTGAGCGAAAACAGGTTCTTGGACGAATCTTGAACGTGAAGTGTGTTCTCAAGGCGAGCTCGACCCACGCATTCCCTGTCCAGACGCGCAGCTTCAATTTCCCATGTCCAATGACGTTCAGCTTCACGTCGCTTTTTGCGCTTGAAATACTGCGCGCATGATGCACTTCTTCGTAATCTTCGAACGCATCTCGATCCTTGCACATGTGTGCTGACGCCGCACTGTCCATGACCCAGCTGTCGCTCGCGAAACCTTCGCAGGCATTGAACGCGACGTTCGACTGGTCATGTTGTTGCTCCCTTGGCCCTCGACCGGAGCGACAATCTCTGGTGTAGTGTCCGACCTTGCCACAGTTGTTGCAGGTCCGTGATGGTCCTTTCGCGCGCCGTCCTTTTTGCTTCTTCGGGTACTGCTTACTCTTCCTCGTGCTTGTGTAGAGAGCCGGTGCATCTTCTACCCGTGCAGCCTCATTCTAGCGGACTTCTTTGGCGATCAACTTGCTCACGAGGTCACTAAAACTGAAGCTTGCGACGGACATGCAGAATGCCTGTACCAAGCTCTCGAAGCTTGAAGGTAGACTCCGCAACAGTACTGCGCACACGTCTTCTTCACTTGGACCGCAGTTCGCGCGCTTCACGAGGTCCTCCAGCTCCATCGCATGACCGCTTATGCTTGATGCTGCATACTTGAACGAGGCCAACAGTTCTTTCAGCCAATGTCGATTCGCCATGTCATGCCTGTGATGAAACCGCGCCAAATGTCCCCACACTTCTCTTGCAGTGGCAGAGTCGATGACATGCATCAGCTGCGAATCGCTCCGATTAAGCACGATCGCGGCGTGGGATTGCTGTTCCTTGGCCTCACTCATTGTCTCATCGCCCGCTATCGCGCCCCACAGCCCCTTCGACATCAGGTACATCTTCATCTTGTAACTCCACAACCCATAGTTCGAGCCATCGAAAGGCTCGACCTTGAAACCGGAACCGTTGTTTAAGCTCATAACCTGTTAGAGTTAACTAGGTTGCGGAGCTGATGAGAAGAAGAAGATGGCTTACGGCCGGGGATGAAAACCGAAAAGTGAGTTGTATTCGAATTGTTCCTAGGTCCAAAAGCGAATGGCTAGTAGTATCCGGTGGCTCTCAGCCACCTATTTTGTGCCCTGTCTCCACCGCTTTCTGTTTTACCTATCACTGGGTAATTACGTCCTGTTAATACATTTCGTAAAAACTCTGCTGTGTCATATGCAGGATGTAAACGATTGCGTGGGTGGGGGACGTAACTGCGGGTGGGTCACAGTTCTGGTGAACCCCAAACACCAGGTCGTGAGTGTCAGTCACAATTTACTTGTACACGGCGGGGATCTAACCCGCACACACTGTGAATCCCTCTTCCTTAACGACTGGGCCAATCCGATACATCGTCACCGCTAACATCCCACAATATAAACCTGCCAAAGAACAATACAACTAATGCAAATATGCAATATACACCCTGCACAAGTCGCCGCATCATCACTCGCTAACACTCTCCCTTGATGTGCGTGCGACGTGTGCGCCCTACACCGCCATACACAGACCCGTGATGAACTTGCTGTGCTTGTCTCTTGGAAGTGCCTTGGTGAATCTATCCGCGACCATTTCTTCTGTTGGCTTGAACTCTAGCGCGATCACTGCACTTGCAACCTTTTCACGCAAAAAGTGAAATTTGATGTCGATGTGCTTCGTGCGCGAGTGGTACACAGGATTCTTGGTCAACGCGATGCAACCTTGATTGTCTTGAAAAATCGTCGTCGTGTTCTTGGCACAGTAGTTCAGGTCCTTGAGCAGACCTCGAAGCCAAACTGCTTCCTGTGTCGCGCTGTACAGACTCATGTACTCTGCTTCAGTACGTGAGGTCGCGACCGTTGGTTGACGCTTCGAATTCCACGATATCACGCTTCCGTTCAGGAAGAAATCGTATCCTGTTGTCGAACGCCGCGTGTCGAGGTCGCCAGCCCAGTTGGCATCCGCGAGTCCAATCAGCTCTCCCTTGTTGATGCCGCTTAACACGATGCTTAAGTCTTGCGTCGTCTTGAGATACTTGAGAATCCACTTTGCTGCTGTCCAATGCGACTTGTCGTAGCCCTCTCAAAACTTCGCAACTTCGCCAACCGCATGCGCAATGTCCGGTCGTGTACATGTGGCGATGTACATTAAAGCGCCCACCAGCTCACGGTATGGGTACTTTGGTACAAACGCTTCCTCTTGACCCATCTTGATCAGCTTCGAGTTTCTGTCCGCCGGCGTATGCACGTCCTTGCAGTTTTCAACGCCAAACTTCTCCGAAAATCGCTTGATGTACGCCTTCTGGTTCATCTTGATCGTTCCATCTTCGCGCTTGCGATGAATCTCGATCCCGAGGCAGTACTTGAGATCTCCAAGATCTTTAATGCTGAAGTCTTAAGTATCAATGAGTTCTTGATACTTGCGATGAGCTCCTTCGTCTTGCAGAAAATTATCAAGTCTTCCACGTAGATCACGATGATGATGTACTCCTCTCTTGTCACTCGAACGAACACACACGGGTCCGCTGCACTGCTCTTGAACCCTTGATCATCCAAGTGCTGACTCAACTTGTTGTTCCACTGCCGCGCCGCTTGCTTCTTCCCGTATAGCACCTTCTGCAGCAAACACTTCTTTTTCGGGCTTCCTTCATCTTCAAAACCGTCAGGTTGGTCCATGTAGATCTCCTCTTCCACTTCGCCGTCGAGAAACGCTGTGTCGACATCAACGTTTTCTGCTTCCAGGTCTTCAGCTGCAGCGATCGCCAACACTGTGTTGATAGATTCCTTGCGCGCCACTGGTGCAAAGGTCTCGTTGCAGTCGATGCCAGGACGCTGCGTGAACCCTTTCGCAACCAAGCGTGCCTTGAACTTGATGATCTCGCCACTTGGATCGCGTTTAATCTTGAAGACCCACTTGCAGCCTACGGCCTTCTTGCCCGGTGGCATGTCCACTAGCTTCCATGTGCTGTGTTCTTCAAGCGACTTCATCTCGCTCTTCATTGCCTGTAGCCACTGCTCCTTGTAGCTGCTCTTCATTACTTCTTGATAGCTGGACGCTTGTTCCCCATCTTCTTCAGCCGAGAAACAGTAGAAAGAGTCGAAATCACCTTCGTAGTCGTCCAAATTGAAGTGACCGCGACGATGGCTTGGAAGTTCTTGTTCGTAGCGAACCACGCCGCGAATTTTCCGAACCGGTCACACCATCCACTCTTCTTCTCCGTTTCTTCCGGGTGTCCTGGATGCGCGCGTAGGAATGGTGTCTCTTGGTCGATCACTGTGTCCGTGATGAGAGCTGTTCTGCGCTCGAAGTGGTGGGGTGCGTAGCTCTTCTTCGGTCACCGGCGCTGGTATGTCTTCATCATCGGGTAGCGACGCCCCCACAATTTCCTCTTCTTCAATGACATAGAACACCCGAGTGTCTCTGCTTAACGATAATTTCGAGACAGAATGCTCAGAGAACGTGACGCTTCTTGAAATCACGATTGAGCCATCGTCCGCACTAAGAAGCCGATACGCCTTTTGGTCCTTCGCACAGCCGAGAAAGAAACATCGCACGCCTGAGTCTTCCAGCTTCTTCCTCTTCTCCTTTGCCACATGCGCATAGCATTGCGCACCAAACACGCGCATGTGATCGACGCGCGGAACCTTCTTGAACACCATCTCGTGTGGGCTTAAGTTCTTGTTCGACGCGTTCGGCAGAATGTTTCTGATGTCTGCCGCTGTCATCAGTGCTTCGCATCAGTACGACTTGTCGAGGCCGCTTTCGTTGAGCATACAGCGCGTCATCTCCACCAGCGTGCGGTTCATCCGCTCCGCCATCCCGTTCTGCTCTGGGTTGTACGGAACCGTGAACTCTTGCTTGATGAACTTTGCCTTGCAAAAGTTGTTCATCGTTTCGTTCCGGTATTCGCCGCCGTTTTCACTTCGCAACACTTTTATCTTCGTTCCAGATGCTGTCTTGATATCTTGGTAAAACCGCTTGAACGCACTCGCAACGTCGCTCTTCTTTCGCAACGGATAGACCGTTACATACCTGCTCTTCATCATGATGAAGGTTACGGCGTAACTGAAACCAGACTTGGACGCTGGCGTGATAGGTCCGAGAACGCCGGAGCACACCACCACGTCGGAACGCGAACTCTCCCTGGTTTCAGCGTCTTCTTCACTTGTCTTGAATGACTTGCGCACTTGCTTTGACGTTGCGCATACGTCACACGCAACGTTCGTCTTCATCGTTGCGCCCTTGATCCTTACGTCACTAATCATGGCATTCAGAGTACCATACGACACGTGGCCCAGTCTTCTATGCCATAGCTCAGTCTCGTCTTCGGCCATGTGGCACTCCGTACAATAGTCAGCGTTGAGATACAGTAGGAAATCCTGCTTCCGTCCTGTTGCGACGGGTTTCCTGCCATGCTTCACCACGCACTCGTTGCGCGTTATCTCCACTGTCATGCCGCGCGCTGCCGCAGCCGTGAGCGAAAACAGGTTCTTGGACGAATCTTGAACGTGAAGTGTGTTCTCAAGGCGAGCTTCGATCCACGCATGCCCTGTCCAGACGCGCGGCTTCACTTTCCCATGTCCAATGACATTCAGCTTCACGTTGCTCTTTGCGCTTGAGATACTTCGCGCATGATGCACTTCTTCGTAATCTTCGAACGCATCTCGATCCTTGCACATGTGTGCTGACGCCGCACTGTCCATGACCCAGCTGTCGCTCGCGAAACCTTCGCTGGCATTGAACGCGACATTCGACTGGTCATGCTGGTGCTCCCTTGGCCCTCGACCGGAGCGACAATCTCTGGTGTAGTGTCCGACCTTGCCACAGTTGTAGCAGGTCCCTGATGGTCCTTTCGCGCGCCGTCCTTGTTGCTTCTTCGGGTACTGCTTACTCTTCCTCGTGCCTGCGTAGAGCGCCGTTGCATCCTCTATCCGTGCAGCCTCATTCTAGCGGACTTCTTTGGCGATCAACTTGCTCACGAGGTCACTAAAACTGAAGCTTGCGACGGACATGCGGAATGCCTGTACCAAGCTCTCGAAGCTTGAAGGTAGACTCCGCAACAGTACTGCGCACACGTCCTCTTCACTTGGACCGCAGTTCGCGCGCTTCACGAGGTCCTCCAGCTCCATCGCATAACCGCTCATGCTTGATGCTGCATGTTTGAACGAGGCCAACAGTTCTTTCAGCCAATGTCGATTCGCCATGTCATGACTGTGATGAAACCGCGCCAAATGTCCCCACACTTCTCTTGCAGTGGCAGAGTCGATGACATGCATCAGCTGCGAATCGCTCCGATTAAGCACGATCGCGGCGTGGACTTGCTGTTCCTTGGCCTCACTCATTGTCTCATCGCCCGCTATCGCGCCCCACAGCCCCTTCGACATCAGGTACATCTTCATCTTGTAACTCCACAACCCAGAGTTCGAGCCGTCGAAAGGCTCGACCTTGAAACCGGAGTCGTTCCTTGGGCTCATAACCTGTTAAATTTAACTAGGTTGTGGAGATGATGCTATGAAGAAGATGGCTTACGGCCGGGAATGAAAACCGAAAAGTGAGTTGTATCCAAATTGTTCCTAGGTCCAAAAGCGAATGGCTAGTAGTTGCCGGTGGCTCTCAGCCACCTATTTCGTGCCCTGTCTCCACCGCTTTCTGTTTTACCTATCACTGGGTAATTATTACGTCTCGTAAATTCCTTTCGTAAAACTCTGCTGTGTCATACGCAGAATGAAAACGATTGCGTGGGTGGGGGGACGTAACTGCGGGGGGGGGCACAGTTCTGGTGAACCCCAAACACCAGGTCGTGAGTGTCAGTCACAATTTACTTGTACACGGCGGGGATTTAACCCGCACACTGTGAATCCCTCTTCCTTAACGACTGGGCCAATCCGATACATCGTCACCGCTAACATCCCACAATATAAACCTTCCAAAGAACAATACAACTAATGCAAATATGCAATATACACCCTGCACAAGTCGCCGCATCATCACTCGCTAACACTCCCCCTTGATGTGCGTGCGACGTGTGCGCCCTACACCGCCATACACAGACCCGTGATGAACTTGCTGTGCTTGTCTCTTGGAAGTGCCTTGGTGAATCTATCCGCGACCATTTCTTCTGTTGGCTTGAACTCTAGCGCGATCACTGCACTTGCAACCTTTTCACGCAAAAAGTGAAATTTGATGTCGATGTGCTTCGTGCGCGAGTGGTACACAGGATTCTTGGTCAACGTGATGCAACCTTGATTATCTTGAAAAATCGTCGTCGTGTTCTTGGCACAGTAGTTCAGGTCCTTGAGCAGACCTCGAAGCCAAACTGCTTCCTGTGTCGCGCTGTACAGACTCATGTACTCTGCTTCAGTACGTGAGGTCGCGACCGTTGGTTGACGCTTCGAATTCCACGATATCACGCTTCCGTTCAGGAAGAAATCGTATCCTGTTGTCGAACGCCGCGTGTCGAGGTCGCCAGCCCAGTTGGCATCCGCGAGTCCAATTAGCTCTCCCTTGTTGATGCCGCTTAACACGATGCTTAAGTCTTGCGTCGTCTTGAGATACTTGAGAATCCGCTTTGCTGCTGTCCCATGCGACTTGTCGTAGCGCTCGCAAAACTTCGCAACTTCGCCAACCGCATGCGCAATGTCCGGTCGTGTACATGTGGCGATGTACATTAAAGCGCCCACCAGCTCACGGTATGGGTACTTTGGTACAAACGCTTCCTCTTGACCCATCTTGATCAGCTTCGAGTTTCTGTCCGCCGGCGTATGCACGTCCTTGCAGTTTTCAACGCCGAACTTCGCCGAAAATCGCTTGATGTACGCCTTCTGGTTCATCTTGATCGTTCCATCTTCGCGCTTGCGATGAATCTCGATCCCGAGGCAGTACTTGAGATCTCCAAGATCTTTAATGCTGAAGTCTTAAGTATCAATGAGTTCTTGATACTTGCGATGAGCTCCTTCGTCTTGCAGAAAATTATCAAGTCTTCCACGTAGATCACGATGATGATGTACTCCTCTCTTGTCACTCGAACGAACACACACGGGTCCGCTGCACTGCTCTTGAACTCTTGATCATCCAAGTGCTGACTCAACTTGTTGTTCCACTGCCGCGCCGCTTGCTTCTTCCCGTATAGCACCTTCTGCAGCAAACACTTCTTTTTCGGGCTTCCTTCATCTTCAAAACCGTCAGGTTGGTCCATGTAGATCTCCTCTTCCACTTCGCCGTCGAGAAACGCTGTGTCGACATCAACGTTTTCTGCTTCCAGGTCTTCAGCTGCAGCGATCGCCAACACTGTGTTGATAGATTCCTTGCGCGCCACTGGTGCAAAGGTCTCGTTGCAGTCGATGCCAGGACGCTGCGTGAACCCTTTCGCAACCAAGCGTGCCTTGAACTTGATGATCTCGCCACTTGGATCGCGTTTAATCTTGAAGACCCACTTGCAGCCTACGGCCTTCTTGCCCGGTGGCATGTCCACTAGCTTCCATGTGCTGTGTTCTTCAAGCGACTTCATCTCGCTCTTCATTGCCTGTAGCCACTGCTCCTTGTAGCTGCTCTTCATTACTTCTTGATAGCTGGACGCTTGTTCCCCATCTTCTTCAGCCGAGAAACAGTAGAAAGAGTCGAAATCACCTTCGTAGTCGTCCAAATTGAAGTGACCGCGACGATGGCTTGGAAGTTCTTGTTCGTAGCGAACCACGCCGCGAATTTTCCGAACCGGTCACACCATCCACTCTTCTTCTCCGTTTCTTCCGGGTGTCCTGGATGCGCGCGTAGGAATGGTGTCTCTTGGTCGATCACTGTGCCCGTGATGAGAGCTGTTCTGCGCTCGAAGTGGTGGGGTGCGTAGCTCTTCTTCGGTCACCGGCGCTGGTATGTCTTCATCATCGGGTAGCGACGCCTCCACACTTTCCTCTTCTTCAATGACATAGAAGACCCGTGTGTCTCTGCTTAACGATAATTTCGAGACAGAATGCTCAGAGAACGTGACGCTTCTTGAAATCACGATTGAGCCATCGTCCGCACTAAGAAGCCGATACGCCTTTTGGTCCTTCGCACAGCCGAGAAAGAAACATCGCACGCCTGAGTCTTCCAGCTTCTTCCTCTTCTCCTTTGCCACATGCGCATAGCATTGCGCACCAAACACGCGCATGTGATCGACGGTCGGAACTTTCTTGAACACCACCTCGTGTGGGCTCGAGTTCTTGTTCGACGCGTTCGGCAGAATGGTTCTGATGTCTGCCGCTGTCATCAGTGCTTCGCATCAGTACGACTTGTCGAGGCCGCTTTCGTCGAGCATACAGCGCGTCATCTCCACCAGCGTGCGGTTCATCCGCTCCGCCATCCCGTTCTGCTCTGGGTTGTACGGAACCGTGAACTCTTGCTTGATGAACTTTGCCTTGCAAAAGTTGTTCATCGTTTCGTTCCGGTATTCGCCGCCGTTTTCACTTCGCAACACTTTTATCTTCGTTCCAGATGCTGTCTTGATATCTTGGTAAAACCGCTTGAACGCACTCGCAACGTCGCTCTTCTTTCGCAACGGATAGACCGTTACATACCTGCTCTTCATCATGATGAAGGTTACGGCGTAACTGAAACCAGACTTGGACGCTGGCGTGATAGGTCCGAGAACGCCGGAGCACACCACCACGTCGGAACGCGAACTCTCCCTGGTTTCAGCGTCTTCTTCACTTGTCTTGAATGACTTGCGCACTTGCTTTGACGTTGCGCATACGTCACACGCAACGTTCGTCTTCATCGTTGCGCCCTTGATCCTTACGTCACTAATCATGGCATTCAGAGTACCATACGACACGTGGCCCAGTCTTCTATGCCATAGCTCAGTCTCGTCTTCGGCCATGTGGCACTCCGTACAATAGTCAGCGTTGAGATACAGTAGGAAATCCTGCTTCCGTCCTGTTGCGACGGGTTTCCTGCCATGCTTCACCACGCACTCGTTGCGCGTTATCTCCACTGTCATGCCGCGCGCTGCCGCAGCCGTGAGCGAAAACAGGTTCTTGGACGAATCTTGAACGTGAAGTGTGTTCTCAAGGCGAGCTTCGATCCACGCATGCCCTGTCCAGACGCGCAGCTTCACTTTCCCATGTCCAATGACATTCAGCTTCACGTTGCTCTTTGCGCTTGAAATGCTTCGCGCATGATGCACTTCTTCGTACTCTTCGAACGCATCTCGATCCTTGCACATGTGTGCTGACGCCGCACTGTCCATGACCCAGCTGTCGCTCGCGAAACCTTCGCTGGCATTGAACGCGACATTCGACTGGTCATGCTGGTGCTCCCTTGGCCCTCGACCGGAGCGACAATCTCTGGTGTAGTGTCCGACCTTGCCACAGTTGTAGCAGGTCCCTGATGGTCCTTTCGCGCGCCGTCCTTGTTGCTTCTTCGGGTACTGCTTACTCTTCCTCGTGCCTGCGTAGAGCGCCGTTGCATCCTCTATCCGTGCAGCCTCATTCTAGCGGACTTCTTTGGCGATCAACTTGCTCACGAGGTCACTAAAACTGAAGCTTGCGACGGACATGCGGAATGCCTGTACCAAGCTCTCGAAGCTTGAAGGTAGACTCCGCAACAGTACTGCGCACACGTCCTCTTCACTTGGACCGCAGTTCGCGCGCTTCACGAGGTCCTCCAGCTCCATCGCATAACCGCTCATGCTTGATGCTGCATGTTTGAACGAGGCCAACAGTTCTTTCAGCCAATGTCGATTCGCCATGTCATGACTGTGATGAAACCGCGCCAAATGTCCCCACACTTCTCTTGCAGTGGCAGAGTCGATGACATGCATCAGCTGCGAATCGCTCCGATTAAGCACGATCGCGGCGTGGACTTGCTGTTCCTTGGCCTCACTCATTGTCTCATCGCCCGCTATCGCGCCCCACAGCCCCTTCGACATCAGGTACATCTTCATCTTGTAACTCCACAACCCAGAGTTCGAGCCGTCGGCTCATAACCTGTTAAATTTAACTAGGTTGTGGAGATGATGCTATGAAGAAGATGGCTTACGGCCGGGGATGAAAACCGAAAAGTGAGTTGTATCCAAATTGTTCCTAGGTCCAAAAGCGAATGGCTAGTAGTTGCCGGTGGCTCTCAGCCACCTATTTCGTGCCCTGTCTCCACCGCTTTCTGTTTTACCTATCACTGGGTAATTATTACGTCTCGTAAATACCTTTCGTAAAACTCTGCTGTGTCATATGCAGAATGTAAACGATTGCGTGGGTGGGGGACGTAACTGCGGGGGGGGGGAACAGTTCTGGTGAACCCCAAACACCAGGTCGTGAGTGTAAGTCACAATTAACTTGAACACGGCGGGGATCGAACCCGCACTCACCCTAGTGGATTCCCTCTTCCCAAACGACTTAGCCAATACGATACATCGTTATATCGCTAACATTCCACAATACAAACCTGCCAAAAAACAATGCAGCTAGTGCTAATACGCGAAATACATCATTTACAATTCGCCTCATCACCACTCGCTAACAAACCAGTAAGATAGGTTGCATTTTCTCCTTGCCGGGCAAACCTTGAAAACGGGCAACCATACATTTACGTGGGTGATAATTCGCGTTGCAGATGTCCCCAATTCTGTAAGTAGTAGTTAAAAAAGTGTTTGATATACGGCATTCCGTGGCTAAGTGGCCCCCCCCCGATTCCTTCTGCTTATCCACACACTTAAGCAGCCACGCCCATAATTGGTGGCTGTTAAACCCTAGGTTGACGCGAGCGCTCAGTAGATGATGCTTGTGGGCGAAGTAGCAAAACCAAAAGTGAGTTTAATATTGTGTGTTATCTCTTCTCTTCTGTGCGCTTACATCGTCACTTGCTATCGATTCCTTTACATCTTTACCTAGCTGACCGTCCATTTAACGAACCAATCATCATTTATGGTCACGCTGACCATCTATTTTATTAACCAATCATTGGTCATTGTCGAGTTCCCTTTCTCTCTGATGTGTGTCACAAAGTCTTGGATCGGACAATGGTCAGAGAAGTGGGAACGTCACTTCCTGACAGGACAATGCTGGTGAACCCCATCACACCAAGGCCTGAAGGCTTCACTTAACGGATGACACTGGGTCTCGAACGACCTCTGGTATACCTCTGCCTGTTAAAATCAAAAGTGAATTGTGTTATGCGTTGAATCACGTTCCTACCGTTGCCTATCATCTTTCCTGGTCCGTCCTTCTTTCCTATCGTTTTCTCAAATCCGAAAATGTCCTTTCTCATGTTCCTTTCCCCAAGAAATGTCTGCTCAACAAGGCTTTGTATGGTACATAGGTGTATAGTCCACGGTCGAGTATGACACGTGTCCAAGTCGGCGACGCCACGGTTCGGCTTCGTTTTCGAGCACATGGCATTGTGGAACCTTCTCGACATTTAGTGTTAAAAGTATCCCACGTCACACACCTGTTGCGACGATTCGCCCGCTTTTGGATACAATACATCCTGCACTGTTGATATCAATCTTCATCCCGCGCGCAGTAGCTGCTGTCAGCGAGAACAGGTTCTTGTTGAGGTCTTGCACGTGAATTGTATTTTCCAGTCGTGCATTTATCCACAATGTGCCGTCCCAAACACGCAAGACGACCGTGCCTTATCCAAGCACCTTTAAGCTCGCATTGTTTTTCGCGCTATTCACGTTGCGAGCTGTCGACGATTCCGCGTACTCAATAAACGCGTCTCTATCCTTGCACATATGTGCCGTTGCGCCGCTGTCCATGATCCAGCAGTCGCTCGTATTTTCTTGAGTGGCGTTAAACGCCCACACTTTTGTCACCGGAAAGGAAAACGTTCTATGGGAAAGAAACATGATAAAGGAAGAACCGTTTATGGGAAAAGAACATGAGAAAAGACGTTCTCTGATTTGATAAAACGGTTGGAAAGAAGGACGAACCAGGAAAGATGATAGGCAATGGTAGAAACGTGATTCAACGCATAGCATAATTCACTTTTGATTTTGCTGCTTCGATCAACAAGTCTTCTTCATTTCAACGCTTCGCTAACATTCAACAGGTTATGAGCCCAAGTAACGACTTCGCACCTAAGGTGGCACTGTTTGACGGTACCAACTATCCGTTATGGGCGTTCAAGATGAAGATGTACCTCATTTCTAAAGGGTTATGGGAAGCGGTTAACGCCACATCTGGCGTCTACGAGGTGAGGAGCAGCAGGCGCATGCGGCAATCGTGCTCAACTTGAGCGATACTCAGCTCATGCATGTCATAACAACGGATAGTGCACGCGAAGCATGGGGAGCCCTCGCACGAGTTCATCGGACTCAAGACATGGCAAGTCGGCTTTGGCTGAAAGAAAGGTTTGCAAAACCTATGGAGGGTGTCGATGTCGACACTGCATTCCTATACGATGAAGCCAAAGAAGTGATTTACATGGACCAGCCTGATGGATTTGTTGACAAGCAAAACCGTGACAAGAAATGTCTGCTCAACAAGGCTTTGTAGGGTACAAAGCAAGCGGCACGAGAATGGAATTAACGTCCGAACGCTCACCTTCTAGGTCAAGGGTTCACGCGTACGGCTGCTGATC